AAACAACCATGTAGCTGATTAAATGCAGCCAATGCTGAGCATAACTATAACATATGACCCATATTAGGCAAACATCCTTTTAATTTTTTGTGTGTGTGGGTGGCCCTTAAAAAAAATGGGCAGGGAATGTGCACCAAGCCTGCAGATACTGCAATACCAGCCCATCAGCTGGAGAGACTGAAGCAAGCTCCAACACACTTCCCCCGGTGCCAAAAATGCTGATTTTTTTAAACTTAGCGTTCCAGGTCAAATTAGCCAAAATCTATCAATTGACCAGAATTCAATCATTCAAATCCATGTGGCACTACCATCAGCAAGTATCCTCTTCAGATACTTGGGTTTCAGATACCGTACTTCCAAAGCCATGGCAGGCATCCAATGTGCAGGTCCAAGCCCAGAGGTCTTGGACTTCGGATGCCCCCATAAGTTACTTGCCCTTAACCAACAGACCAAAGGAGCAAGCTAGATTGATGAGATTTTTTTTTTTTTAATTTTATTTTTTGGAAAACATTTTGTCTTCCAGGTCAAATTAGCCAGATCAGCCCCAAATCATTTTGACTAAGCAGAGCCCAATCGTTCAAACACCGTATGTGGCGCTGCAACATGCAAGTATCCTCAGATACTTCCAAATCCATTGGCAGGCATCCTACTTGCAGACCAAAGCCCAAAGGCATGACGTTCAGATAACCGAGTCTCGCTTGCCCTCATCTAACAGCCGCAAAAGCAAGCTATGGAGGAGTCCCCCAGCGGGCACCAGCAGCCCTTCCGGCTGCGCAGCATGAAGGGGCCTGCCAGCATGAAGGTGAGGAGGTAAGATGGCTGCTTCCCCCACTGCTGATTGGCTGAGAGGGCTGCCTGTTGTGCAGCCCTGCCCCTCTCCACCAATCTGTGGTAAGGGGCAGGGCCCATATAATGGACAGTCCTCTCCATAAATCAGTGGTGAGGGGTTGCAGGGGAGAACCGGGGCCCTACTACAGTAAGCACCTTGAAAATGGTGGGTGGCCTGCAAAATCAGCCAGCTGCCTCCTGGAGTTGGGCAGACCCCTAACTACATGGTAAATCATGAGCCTTTGGGCTAATATCATGCACAGTTTTGTACCTACTCATGTACAGAATAAAGTACAGCTTCATGGAGTACCTATGCCAAAATCCATAAACTAGCATCAAAAGGCATAAACTGCATCCATTCTGGATGAACTAAGTCTGCACGGACCTATAATAATTTCCCTATTTACAAGTTACTACAGTCTTTTTATCTCAAGGTCAGTGCTTTTAGATTTGCCCCTCACTTCCATGTCCGTACAGAGAGCAGAGTCTGACTGTAAGGAGTGGGGGAAGAAGTTAGGGCAGAGGGCAAAGTGGCTCTGACCCTCCCTCCTGATTTATCTTCCTTGCAATGGGAAAGGGACAGATTGAAGGCAAAACTCTAATAAGTAGATTCTATACCTGGAAAATTTTAACAAACATATATACATTTTCCAAACGTAGCATTTAATTATTGGGGAGTGACATTATATTCAGAGTTGTCTTCTATTTGGGTAAATACAGTATGTCCCATTCTAATATCCACAATTCAAGACAATTATTGAAAACTTAGAGAGGGTCTAGAACAATTACAAGATTACAAAGTAGGCCTTACAATGAGCGACTAGGAGCCTAGTCTGCTTTGTTTAACCAAGGGAAGGCCAAGGGGTGACTTGATGCCTTTGTCGGCAACATAAATCTAGTATTAGCAGGCTCTTCAGTGCAGCAAACTATACCAGGATCCAGTGGCTACAGGCTAATGCTGGACAACAAGGTAGAAACTGGGTGTAATATTTTTAAATGACACGGATAAATAGTTGTTAAAACAACAGACCAAGGTATGGCAGATTCTCCATCACTGAAAAGTTAAGTTTGAGATGGGCTTCCAGCATAGAAAATGTTGGAACATCACTAGCCTCACAGGGAGGGAATCAACTATCCCTGGGAAAATCCTAGAAAAAATTATCAAGGAGCACATCTGTGGGAGCCTGCTGGCTGTGATGCAGAGGGGTCCCCACCATGGGTTTTTAGCAGGCAGGTCATGACTGACTAACCTGGTTTCCTTTTACAACAAGGCCACCAATTGTTTAGATGCAGGAGTCGAGCTGGATGTTATCTATCTGGATTTTAAGAAGGCCTTTGACAAGGTATACAATACCATCCTTATAAATAAACTGAGGGGATCTGCCTTGGATGATTACACGGCAGACTGGGTAGCAATTTGCTCAAGGGTCGCACTCAGAGGGTGGTAGTGGACAGGTCAGTGTCAACCTGGAAAGATGTGGGCAGTGGAGTCCCTCAAGGCTCAGCTCTGGGGCCGGTGCTGTTCAACATCTTCATCAGCGATCTGGATGAGGGGGTGGGAGGCACCCTCTCCAAATTCACAGACAACACAAAATTATGGGGTGCAGATAACCCCCTGGAAAGGAGGAACCAGATCCAAGCCGACCTAGACAGGTTGGGGAAGTGGGCAGAGAGCAACAGGATGGAATTCGATAAGGACAAGTGCAAGGTGCTGCATCTAGGGAGGAAGAACTGCCATCATACCTATAGGCTGGAGGGCCACCTTCTCAGCTCTGCTGAGGCAGAAAAAGATCTTGGAGTCGCTGCTGACTCCAGGATGAACACGAGTTGCCAATGTGATGAAGCAGTTCGCAGAGTCAATCGCACCTTTGTCATGCATCCATAGGTGCATCACAAACACGCCCAGGGAAGTGATTCTCCCCATCTATGCAGCACTGGACAGACTGCAGCTGGAGTACTGTGTCCAGTTCTGGATGCCGCAGTTCAAGCTGGATGTGGACAACCTGGAAAGGGTCCAAAGAAGAGCCACTCGCCTGATTAGAGGCCTGCAGGGAAGGTCCTACAAGGAAAGGCTAAGGGACCTTAGCCTCTTCAGCCCCTCCAAGAGAAGGGACCTTGTGGCAGCGTCCAAATTCATAAGGGGAGAACAACATGAAGTAGGCAACGATCTGTTCACCAGGAAACCCCCTAGGACAACAAGGAACAATGGCCATAAGCTACTACAGAGAAGGTTTAGGCTGGACATTAGAAAAAAAGTTCTTCATGGTCAGGGTTGTCAGAACCTGGAATGGGCTCCCAAGGGAGGTGGTGCTCACCCCATCCTTGGGGGTCTTCAAGAGACTGGACAGGCACCTAGCTGGAATCACATGACCCCAGGGCTGGCGAGTCTTTTCTTGCCTGCCAGGGGCAGGGGGTCGGACTAGATGGCCCACTGAGGTCCCTTCCGACTCTATGAATCTATGAAAGATCTTCAGTTCTAAGGTCCCAAAATATCTTTTCTTAATAGTCTACTAAGGGTCTACCTGAAATCTTTTACGGTGTAAACATATTATATCCACTATTGCAGTCATACAAGCTATGCATCAAAGCATTCCAATAGATTAGAAAATACAGTTTGTCTTTACCTTTGGTGTAGGGCTTTTTCCAATCTCATCGAAGTCCAAAAACATGTCTAGATCGCATCCTAATTTGCCAAAGGTACTCACTGAAGAGCCAAATGGCTTTACCACACATTCTGGGAAATATGCACGTGCAATATCCTGAATCAGAGAGCATGCTAGAAACCGGAGCTTCATGCTCTCCTCTGTTAGCTGATATTCATTCACTAGACAGTACAGCTGACTGCTTATCTGAAAGAGAGAAAGAAGAATGAAAAAAGTCAAAATAGACATTAGTTTCACGAGGAAGAAGACCTAATAAATCACACTGTAGTTGCATAATGTTTACCCTTTGATCTACTTCCAAGCCTCACAAGCTTCCTCAGCTCCTGAAAATTATCACTAGAATGTCACTTAGCGTTCCTAGACAAGTAAAGAAAAAATGAAGTTATATTGCCTAAAACTTTATCATCTTCTTCAATTCAGAAGTTACTATCCGCACACACAGAAATATTCATAGAATCAATGAGCTGGAAGGGACCTAAACAGATCATCTAGTCCGACTCCCTGCCATGGGCAGGAAG